TTTATGAACAACACTTGTACAGGATTCCAGACTTGAGAGGACCAAAAAATTGTTCTATAGACCTCTGGATTAGTTTTTTATACTCTTACAGAACCAAAACATCTTTGTTTTAATCCTATAACTCCCAGGAAATGATGATGACAACTGACTCCATAAAAAGCCATCTTCTTCCTGGAAGAATATTGTTTTGGAATAAATGTCTATAAAGCTACTTCTCACTTTATCAGACATTGTCAAAGAGATCATTCCAGTTTCCAGGTTTTAAAACCAGAGCACTTAATCCAAACCAAATACAGTTCTTAAAAATAGAATTGCATTGGAAGTATTTGTACTTTTACTAACATATAATAGGATTTGGTGCTGTGTATTCATGAACTCTTTTGTCCAAGTTGAGTGATCCTTAAGTAAGTTACAGGCTCATGTTAGCCATACTTTCTCTTTTTTTTTGAGATTTAGGAATATTGGATAATGATTCCTAATGAGGCTTGAGCCTTATTGATACATTCCCTTAGCAAGAACCTGGTCTCTAGAATCTTAAATCCTGCTGTGAAGCCAGTGTTCACACAGATGTTTCTATAAATAATCCTCCACCAAGAACAGCAAGAAAGTCAATAGAAAACTGATGAAAACAAAAGTTGAAGTTATTACTTCTTTGTTACATAATGAGTTGAAGAAAGAATATCAACATAATGCCTCTAATGTAGATTGGGAAATCTGTTATGATATTGCTTAGGACAAATCTAAGACAATTAAATTAGAGTGGTTTTCAAATCCAATGATGAGCTCCCTTCAAGATCTTACTTCATAGAGACTTCTGGTCAAGATGGAGACGTGGTTTGCCTCCTCATGCAACCACAAGAATTACAACTAATCTGAAAACAAAAAACACCCAGAACTGCCAAAAAATTGAACCGTATGGAAGTCCAACAACCAAGGAGTTAAAGAAACCATGTTTGTCCAAATAGGTAAGAGGGGTGGAGCCATGGAGGAAAGACACAGTCATGGAATTCAGGGTGGAGAGGACACAGTGTGGTGTAGAGAGGCAGCGATGGTGGTGGAACGGGCAGTCCCACATTCACGTGTGATAGACAAAAATCAGGAAAGTTACCATGGGAGTGAGTGATCTCAGCTGCAGGCCAGACTGCACAGCCAGTTTCCAGCACCAGGAAGATAAAGCTTCAAAACTTCTGGCTATAAAAACCAAAGGGGCTTGGGGTGGTGGAAGAAACTGCCAGTTTCTCAGGAGAGTCCATTTAATGGGCCTACACATACCTAGAATGTGCAGAAACCCACCCAGTCTGTAAATCACCAGGGCAGCAGCTAGAAGGGTGCCAATTGCATATGGGGAGTGGGTGATGTGACTGGAAATGGGGAGAATGCTGGGCAAACCTCCAGAAGCCAAGCAGCAGCATTGTCTCCTCTCCAACCCCTCCCACCATGTAGAGCCACAAAGTGCTGAAGTGGGTTGCCCACCCTGGCAAATACCTAAGGCTCCTCCCCATACAACTTAACAGGTATACTAAGATAGGAAGTCAAAGCAGCTCTATCTAATACACAAAAACAAACAAAGGGAAGCTGCCAAATTGAGGAGACAAAGAAATATGGCCCAAATGAAAGAACAGAGCAAAACCCCAGAAAAAAAACTAAATGAAATGGAGATAACCAACCTATCAGATGCTCAGTTCAAAACACTGGTAATCAGGATGCTCACAGAATACACTGAGTATGGAAAAACCAAAAGTGAAGGAATGAAGGTTACAGTAAATGAAATAAACAAATCAACAGGGAACCAAGAGTGACGGGAAGGAAGCCAAGATTCAAATCAACAATTTGGAACATAAAAATAAACATTCAACCAGAACAGAAAGAAGAAATGAGAATTTGAAAAAATGAAGAGAGTATAAGAAGACTCTGGGACAACTCCAAAAGTGCCAACATCTAAATCATAGGGATGCCAGAAAGAAAAGAGGAAGAGCAACAAATTGGAAACTTTTTTGAAAAAATAATGAAAGAGCACTGGCTGGCGTAGCTCAGTGGATTGAGCGTGGGCTGTGAACCAAAGTGTTGCAGATTCGAGTCCCAATTGGGGCACATGCCTGGGTTGCAGGCCAAGGCCCCCAGCAACTGCACATTGATGTTTCTCTCTCTTTCTCCCTCCCTTCCCCCTCTAAAAATAAATAAATAAAATCTTTGAAAAAAAGAAAAAATAATGAAAGAAACTTCCCTAAATTGGCAAAGAAAACAGACATACAAGTCCAGGAAGCACAGAGAGTCCCAAACAACTTGGACCCAAAGAGGGCCACACCAAGAGACATCATAATTAAAATGTCAAAGGTTAAAGATAAAGAGAGAATCTTAAAAGCAGCCAGAGAAAGGCAGAGAGTTACCTACAGAGGAGTTCCCATAAGACTAATCAGCTGATTTCTCAAAAAAAAATTTGCAGGCAAGAAGGGACTGGCAAGAAGTATTCCAAGTGATGAGAAGCAAGGACCTACAACCAAGGTTGCTCTACCCAGCAAAGCTATCATTTAGAATGGAAGGGCAGATACAGTGCTTTCCAGACAAAGTAAAGCTAAAGGAATTCATCATCACTAAACCATTACTATCTGAAATGTTAAAGGGACTTATTTAAAAAAAAGATCAAAACTATGAACATTAAAAAAATATACTTGTAACTAGCAACAACTTAACTTAAAAACAAAAACAATCGACCAGAACAGGAACAGATTCATACATATGGAGATCATTTGGAGGGCTATCAGCTGGGAGGGGGAAAAGTGGGCAAGAAGGTACAGGGATTAAGAAGCATAATTTGTAAGTAGAAAATAGGCAGGGGTATGTTAAAAATAGTATATGAAATGAAGAGACCAAATAACTTATATGCATGACTCATGGACATGAACTGAGGGAGGCAGGGGACAGATTGTTGGACAAAAGGGGGATACCAGGTGGAGGGGGGCAGAGGGGGAAAAAGTGGGACCACTGTAATATCATAATCAAAAAACTATACTAAGAGGGAGAGAGAAAAGATCTTACCTCATAAAGCAAAATAATGGATCTGCATCCTAAGTAAAACATGAAAAAAATGTCCTCATAGTTAACTCTCCATCTTGAATCCTGAACCAATCGACAAACACCTCTGCTCCTTCCCTACCAGTTCCCTTCTTCAAAAACTGGCTTTAAAGTCATCCAGCCCAATCTTTTCTAAATGTCCTAGGATTGAGAGACTCCCAGGCTTTGCCTATGGTTTGTTGTCTTTCGCTACATGAACCTAAATAAACCTGGCTTTGTGGGAACAACAGGCATGTCTGATAAATCTGCTAGAAGGTTTCAAAGGATTTTCTTACAAATTTATAGTCCAGCTACCTAGAGAAAATTATTTCTATTTAAGTAGGTTTCCTATTTCTGGAATGGTTTGCTTGGTAATTTTACTTGATTCTCATCATATTATATGTATCTTGCATTTTTGAGAAATATGCTTTTAGAAATTTTTGCTAAACATTTTCAACAATGGTAAAAATATTTCATACTGTTTTACTGGTAGAGTACATGCCAAAGTTGAACCATTCCTTTTCCCATTTAGATGTTTTCCCATTTTTGCTATTGTAGGAAAAACCTGTGATGAATATTTTAAATAAAGCTTTCCTACAGATTAAATTATGTTAAATTATGTCCTCAGGATAAATCCTTGCAATGACAACACCTGAATTGAAGGATGTGAGTATTTTGGGACTCTAGTCACATAATACTTGCTTTCCAAGAGTTTTACTAGTGGGCTCCTCCTACCTGTAACCTGGCAAGTAAATGTTCACTGAATTTTGACCAGCACATTAAGAGAAACTTAAATACAATTTTTACCTACACATTTAAAAGTTTTAGACATTTACATACAGCTTTTGAAGAACACAATAGGCAGGTTTCTCATCAGTTTGCCCCTAAATTTCTCAAACTGACTAGGGAGAAAAGCAACTGAAGTCATAAAACACTTGAAGGAAATGCAGAAAATATCAAATAGTAAAGCAATAATTACTGCAAGCATAGATAAGTTGGTCATGTGACATAGGTTTGCATATATACAGATAAAAATAGGAATCTAAGATTTAAAATAATTTTCCAATTCGAATTGTTTTCAAAACCTTTGGCAGTTGGAGTGTAAAAAAAGACCTTTTTTGGTAAGGTGTTAAGTGAAAAAATATTAAAAACACATACGTAGTTGAACATGAGTGAATTATTTTATAGAGACTGCTTTCTGCGTCTGAACCTTGTAAAAAGGTCAACTATTTTATTTTACAATGGTAATGAGAACATCTTTTAAAAGTACATGTTAGTATCACGGGTCTAGGGCTTAGTGATAAAGTTAGCTAGGCCTTGGCTTCCTGTCCTATTGGGCCCTGGGCGCTCTAACTTTGCCAGTTTTCTTCAAGCTAACCTGGAGACTGGAGATCTGATCTTCAATTTTCTTCTTAGGTTGTATTAATACAAGCTATGTCTAGGAGACTGAAGCTTGAGAGCAGTTGAGCAAAGACACAACAGATTTCTTTTCTGATCTTACAGTTCAGCTAAAACTCTACATTCCTGACCCTCCGTTAAACAAACACACAAACAAACAAAAAAGACAAGAAAAAAAAATTGAGTAGTGCCCAACACTGCCTTTAAGCCCACAAGCGAACAAAATCCAACTGGAAACCTTCTTCACATCCACGTCCCCGCCCTTCTCTATTAAACAGTACCTAGCCCACCCACCGCTCGGCTGAACTGCTGTGATGTCACCATGGCGAAAGGCATGCTGTGTGCCTTCGGGTACTTTCTCGCTCTTTTCCACCGATTCTTGGGCGTCCACGGACGCTAAGAGAACTACAACTCCCAGAGCCCTTCGCGGTTTGGGGAGGGTGGGGACTGTGGGAAAGAGGCTCCGGAGGAAATCGGGCTAGAGCTGGCTGCTCCTCCTTCTGAAGTGGGTTTGTACCTCTTTTCCGCTAGCAGCGTCAGGCGGCGTCAGCGCTCACGCAGGGGCGGGTCACGGCAGCGCGAAGCGGTGCTCGGCGGGAAGGGAGGTCGTGGCGGTAGCCGTGTCTGCGGGGACAACAGCAGCGGCGGCCGCAGGGACAGCAGGAGCAGCGGTGCTGTCAGTTAGGCCGTCGGAGAAATGGGAGACCCTGGGTCGGAGGTGAGTAGGAGAAGCACGAAGCGTTTTGTATTTTGTTGGGTGTGAGGCCTGGTGCTCAGCTGCAGCAGAGGGGCGATACCTTCAGCGTCTGTGGCCGAGCTTGGCGTTGGGAACGGTGCTGGTCTGAGCCAGGAGCTAGCAGAAACAATGGCCGCCCAGCCGCCCCCGGGCCCCAGCACCAGCTCTGAGTTTCTTGTTGCTGCTGCTTGGCGGGCAGGCTTGCTGTTCGATAGTGAGCCTGCATCCTTCGTTCTCCGCAGATGGGGAAATCCTGAGAAGCCAGTAACTGGCTTTCGCTGTCTGGTCCATGCAGCTCCACGTATGCAGAGGCATAATCCAACTCCATCGAATTCTGTTCTTAGTCTGGTTTGTGTGGAATTGTGCCGTCAGTTTCCTTTAAAGCTCGTCCTTTCTGAGAACATCTCTTCCTGCAAATTTGTGGCTGTACAGATAAGCATGTTTTGGCTTATTTTTGTAGATAATAGAATCCGTTCCTCCAGCTGGGCCTGAGGCAACTGAGTCCACAACCGATGAAAATGAAGATGACATTCAGTTTGTTTGTGTAAGTAGCAATGATTGGGTTTTTCCCAGAGTCAAAGCCTGCGTGGTAAGCGATTACGAGACTACACCTCACCTGTTCGTTCATCATCCAACAAATATGTTCGCTCGTCTAAGGTACTAGACAGTGTGGAGCATGGCACAGGATTAGCAAATGGACCCAAAGAAGGTTCTGAGCAGCCGCAACAGCCATCACAAGGACTGTTGGTTAAGTACATGTTGCAGCTTAATCACTCTTCTCACACCTTCCTGCAGAGCCATTTTATACTCCGTCTACACAAAGTTCTGGTCTCTTGAGACTGTGTATTGAAATGGGGCAAGAGTGTCTTCTGAGAAGAGACACAGGTGAGGGAGAAGGGACAGCTAATGATGAGGAAGTATGTAGAAAATAGGGGTGTTGTAAGAACTCAAAACCTGAGGATTACGCAGCTCCATAATGTGGAGGCAGATGGCTTGAAGGTCTCACTAATCCCTGAGGTCATGATGTTACAGCATAGTACAACAATTGGTGTTCGTAGTGAAGGTCCTTGCATTACCAGGAATTTACTATATAGTATTTTCTGACTTTATTTCTTTGGAGACAGTTTTCAGGCATTAGTAAGTGTAGATTCCTAAGCCTCACTCTGTATCTACAGAATTTGAATGTGGGCCTAGGAATCTTTATTTTGGAAAAATACAAGGACAGACGAGTCTCTGGACCACTCTTTGTAAAGCATTGATTTAGGGAAATAGTGGGTATGATGTATTTTGGGATGATTTTCACCCAAAACTTTTAAAGTATAACAAGTATACTTTAAAGCAGGGTTATCAAACTTATTTTCACCAGGGGCCACATCAGCCTTGAGGTTGCCTTCAAAGGGCCGAAATAATTTTAGGACTGTATAAATTTAACTCCTTAACTGTTAAGTAGTTGAAATTACATTTGGCCTTTTGAAGGCAATTATGAGGCTGATGTGGCTCCCTGTGAAAATGAGTTTGATTCCCCTGCTTTAAAGTACAGCTTTGTTACACTGTAACAAAGAATAAAGTAATATGGGTAAAGTAGTATTTTACCGAGATAATACCTTTGCTATAAACTATTCTGAATACTATAGTTGAGGTTTGCTATTAGGTGTGTAATTTTTATTTAACAGCATCTGATATGTATTTGTATTCATTTTGGGACAACTTAGTAAAAGTAGTTATTAAACAGTGTTATCTAGTATCCCAACATTAGGTCCATTTTGGTGATCCATTACTGTATTGTGCTTTAATGGGTTTATGTAGGAGTCTTTCACAAGATCATTTTGTGCCTTGTTCTCCAATGCTAGTGTATAGGGCACTCTTTTTCATTTTAAACTTTTAAGGTTTTGGGGTGGGGGGTGTACTTAGAAGAATTGTATCCTGCCCCTTTAGTCACTGTAGACTGAAGTATGTTTGGTAACAGGATTCCATGGCTCTTGACAGATATTTCAGGTTCTTCCTGAATATTGATATATTCGATAATATCTTGATATTTTGTATAAATATAAGTAAGAATGACATACTTCTTTATGAGCCACATGTCTTAGTTTGAAAGACACAGATGGAATTTACTAAAATAAGATTTGGAAAATAATATATATTTTTTTGTGCTCTAGAATGAAAAATTGTAGTTTGTAACTAATATAAGTTTGTATTAGAAGTTTAAAAATGTTCTTGAAATTTTATTTTAAATATAGAGAACTTGTTAATCTTTGCATCTGGAATAAAAAACATGCAACCAGTGTTTTGTCGAGGTTGATACAACATTTTATATTTATCCCAGTTTTCTAGTATAGGTTGGGAGATTTGATAGTTCCACATGGAGAAATGAATTATATGTATCAAGTGCAATTATAATCCTAGAAGAAACCTATTAAAAACATCCCCTCTGTCTTTTTAGTGATAACACTTAAATGACAATGATACCTTAATTCCATTTCAAAATACAGTTAGAGATGGAACCTTCTATTTCTTTCTGTCACCTAATCTTATACTTAACTCCTCCAGGTAACTCTTATCCAATAAAGATAATGCTTAAGATTTATTCAGATACAAAAAGACCATTATGATGTCATTTCTGGATTTACTCTGGTTTGGATTTCTTAGTTTGCTGTTAATTACATTTTGTCATCTTCAGTCCACATGGTGCACAGCAGTCTTTCTGTGGTTTCCAAAATACAGAATCTGAAACTAAATAGCATGCTGAAAGAAAGGATAAATATAAATGTACAGGTTCAAATAACCCTTTTTGTTTATATTGCATTGGCCAAAAAGTCAGTTACCGTATTTTCAGCTATAAAACACCCCCCCCACACACAACTCCCCACCAGATTTGGGAGGAAAGTGGGGATGCATCTTATAGTCTGAATATCGCTTGCCTGGCTCGCTGTGGGGGCGGAGGGGCGGCCTATGTTATTTATGTTACTAGGTATTTTACTACATTTTTTTACTTCAAAGTTTTTTTTCCTATTTTCCTCCTCTAAAACCTAGGTGCGTCTTATGGTCCAGTGCACCTTACAGTCTGAAAAATTTGGTACTTTTTTTCGGTAGTAGTATTTAGTTGTCTTTAACTTCATTTGAAACAAGATTTGTTAGATTGTGTTGTGATAGCTGTCATATCATTGTACATTTAAAAAGAATAAAAATTGGTGAAATTTTGTGCAACCATTTTAATATTGAAGATTGAAGAAGATACACATTTTTGATATTTTATACATTATTATTTCAAGAAAGGTAAAACTGCAACTGAAACACAAAAAAGATTTGTGCAGTGTATGGAGAAGGTGCTGTGACTGACTGAATGTGTCAAAAGTGGTTTGCAGAGTTTCTTGGTACTACTGATATTTTGGCCAAATAATTCTTTGCCATGGGGCTGTCTTATGGATTGGAAGATGCTTAGCAGCACCCCTGGCCTCTACCCACCCGAATCCAGTAGCAGGAAATATCTGGCATACTCAAAATATCCAAATCAATGAAGTTACTGGTGAAAATGAAAAATGTGTCTTTTAGTTTATGGAAAAAACTAAATGAACTTTTTGGCCAACCCAATATTTTATTAAAATGTAAAATAGAACACAATTCATAAGAGAACTGTTTGATTTTTGCAAAGCCAATACACCTGTATAAACAGCTCCAATCAAGAAACAGAATGTTACCATGACAAGAACTTTTCATTTAGATCTTTTTCTCTCATTTTCTGTTTAGTAATACAACTCTTTATTCAACCATCTTTGTGTCTTTCTTTGAAAGTGGATATTTTAATAGACTCCCAAAAACTGTTTAAGCTAAGAGCTTGATGATGTGATTTTTCAGTGCTACTCTGGAAACAAAGCTATTTAAAACTGCTGAGGCAGCTTATAATCTTGAGAACAGCACCTGAGATTTAGGTTTCAGCTAAGATTACTAGTTTATTGTAGAATCATTGAACATGTGAAAAGAATAAAGGAAATTAAGGTATAATTTTATAAATAACCTGAGCACATAGGTCAAATGGTAATACTTTACCTGCAGTAGAATGGGTCATAGGCAAAAAAAAAAAAAAATTAGGGTATCCTTTGTTTGGGTGTTTAGGATTGTAATGAATTTAATAAAAAGAATTTGGAGCTCATAATATGCAAAGTCATGAATTAAGTACAGTAGAGCTATAAATATTAATTGGAAATATATTCTACCCAAAAATATCAGTATTTCAGTGTGGGAGATGAAGTAGATGAGAACTATGTAAATAGTTCTAGTAAGTACAAAGTTCTTTTATAAAAAGAACATGGTGCTTTAAAAAAAAGACTTTCAGTTTATTACTTTGGCATAAATAGCATTTAGTATTCATATGTATTTAAAATGTCATTTTGAGAAGAAATAAGGAAAGACATCAACTGGGAAAGCAGGATTTGTGTAGTTCTGGTGAATAAAATTTTTTTTTTTTTTAATGTGAGAGGAAAGAATGATGGTCCAGATATATAGATCTTGAATTGTGGACTAAATATGAACTTACAGTGGGAGATTGGGAACCATTTGAAATTTTAGAACTGAGCAAGACTGCAGAAGTAAACTGTGCCCCTAACTTCTCTATATGGAAAAAAATGAATTATATCAGGTTTTAGATTAGGTTTTTGCATCTTCTTAAATCCATATTTGTTTTAGACTGGAGTAAAAAAAATTTTTGTATCCTATATCTTAGTATATTGGCATCACTTTTCAATTAGTAAGCAGTTGATGTTTTGGTATGAGAATTAGTGTTCTAATAACGAATGAAACCTTTTTTTACTTATTTTTTTTAAGAACTACTTTTTTTTTAAAGATTTTTTTTAAAGATTTTAATTTATTTATGTTTAGAGAGGGAAGGGAGGGAGAAAGAGAGAGAGAAACATCAATGTGCGGTTGCTGGGGGCCATGGCCTGCAACCCAGGAATGTGCCCTGACTGGGAATCGAACTTGCGATGCTTTGGTTCGCAGCCTGCCCTCAATCCACTGAGCTACACGAGCCAGGGCTTTACTTAATTTTTTAAAAAACTTAATCTAATTAATACAGCTGTGTTCCTGATCTGTTTTGCTTATGTCTGTATTCCTGCCCCTAAACTGTGTGGCCTTGGAAGTAGAATCCTTTGGTTTTGTTATTGGTATAGAGGAGATGAAAATGAGGGTTTACTAGTTGATAAATGGAGTAAATTCAAATAAAATACCTTGTAAATGGAGGACCACCTGCATTTATAGTTATTTAGGATATGAGCAGTCAATATAAATATGAGACCTTATTTCTTCTCAGTGTTTGTATTATAAACATTATTTTTTTAGGGGAGTTAACTTATTTTTTACTGTTCTGAATTACTCTGAGTTGGGGATAATAGCAGGTAGTCCTTTTTGTCTTATTGACAAGTGTCTTATCTCAGAAACTTAGGTAATAAGCATGATTTAAAAATAGTACATATAGCTCTGGCTGATGTGGCTCAGTGGATTGAGTGCTGAACTGTAAATCAAGGGGTCGCTGATTCAATTCCCAGTCAGGGCACATGCCTGGGTTGCAGGCCAGGTCCTCAGTAGGGGGTGCAAGTGACAACCATACATTGATGTTTCTCTCCCTCTCTTTCTCTCTCCATTCCTCTCTCTCTAAAAATAAAGTATTTAAAAAATAAAAATAGTACATATATGTATATTTTTAATACCTCAGTTGCTTTGACTACACAATTATATGTTTAGAGAACCAGGTATACCTCACCTAGTTTTCACATTTGTTAAGTGGGATAATAGTAATTCAGTATTTTACCTTGTCAGGTAATTGTGGAGATTAAATAAAATCAAGTGCATGAATAATTTAGCATAGTCCCTGTACAGGACACAATGACAAATGTTATCGATTAATAGGAAAATAAATGCAGTAGTGAAATGTTTTGACTGCCTTATTATGGGGTAAGTTTTTCCATATCCACTGTGGAAATTAGCTGAAATGTAGAGTATTTGTTTATAAAATAATATTTTCCTTTAGGATACTTCTCTTATTTTTCCACTCAGCCTCTTTGCCTTTTTGGAAGTCTCAGACCCTTATCTCTCTTTCTACCATTCTGGCACTTATAACTTCGTAATTATTTGTTCAGTGAATAATAAATATTCTAACTGACTCCTGCCTTTTCTCACTTTTAGATTTCCTACATCGATTCTTTTTATCTTCTTACTTTGTGTGAATTATATGAAGTTGCCATTGTTTAGTTGTGTGTATCATTCTAACGGTTCATTCCAATAACACATTTCTGGTAGTCTTCTTTCATCTGTTTTTAATCCTGCCCCTTATACTATTTCTACATTTACTTTTTAATCCTGTTTGTGGCCAGTGTCCTTATTCTGTTTTTTTCCTGCCCATTTTGCATTTTACGTTGTGCCCTATTACATACTTTCTTTCATCTCCCTTGTTTCTGTACCTACTATCTGTTCATGAAAGTTCTACCTCTACCTCTGTATTTCTGGTAACCTGGGGACTTTCTTAGTGTGCTATTTCTGTGGGTATATAATAAAATTATCTAATGCATATTTCTTGAAGAGTGTAAACTCAGGTAATTACATGAACAGTAGAAGCTGTTTTTAACTCCTCTGCTTTCTTCTTAGATTAACATGATTTTGATAATTAGATTTTAGTCTTAAAGTAGGTGATGCATCTCTGTTGACCACACATTGGAGAATATCTGTTTTCTTTTTCTCTTTTTTAAACTTGCATTTTTACAGTTTAGGCAAAAATCCCAGTTACTTTATTCATGATTTCTGCCCAGAAGTTTTGCTTTCTGGTTGTATCTTATAGTGGCAGGATCACTACCTGCAAGGTGAGCAATTTGCCTGCAGAGAAACTAGCCTAGTGAGAGAAACAAGCTATCTTTGAGACTGGATGCTTCTTTCAGGGTCTTTAACTAGATCTTAGCTTCTGTCTCCAGACTCTAATCTTTTTATGTTAGTTTTTCCACTGAATTAAACACTTTGGCTTGCCAACAGTCAGTTTTCTGTATCTTAAGAAATCTTTCCCTCAGCCATATTCTCCTCCTGTGTTCCTTTCTCTTGTTCTCAACATACTAGATTTTTTTTTTTCAAGAAATACTCTTTACTCATGTCCTTTACTGCCTTATTTTCTACTCAATTTTTAAATTAGAATGGCTTCTATACTCACTATTTTCCTGACAGTTGCTCTCTCAAAGGCATTTTAAAATCTGTTGCCAGATTCAGTGGGTTTTTTTTTTTTTGGTGTTTTTGGCTTCATTTAACATTGATAACTTTTTGTTGAGGTTTAGTCTATCTTTAGCTTCTTTGAGTTTATAAATTCTCCAATCCTTTTCCAATCTCTGATTTCCTACTTAAAGGCAGAGAGGGTACTAGCTTAGATCACCATCATATGCTTCACATAATCACATAATCAGCTTCATATTTTTAAAAAGTTATTAAAATTGGTGATCTATCCCCAGAGAGGGTATTAGCTTAGGGGTCAAACCCACATCCAAAAAAATCATATGTAAAAGAGAAAACTTTAAATATATGGGGGATAGAGGAGGTTAAAAGATATGACAACTGAAGTAATTTTTTTATTATGTGATGGTAAATCACATAATAAAGCTGATGACGGTGGGGTAGGATCATAATAGTATTAGGTACTATTCAAGGCCCTTCTTCCTTGAATCCTAAAATTCCAGCATTTCCTCAAGAGCCTTCTGGAATCTCTTCTGCTCTTCACTTTATTCCTTAGCAACAACATAGTTTCAATTTAAAACTAGAGTTAATAGTCTTTTAGGGGAGCCATTCCCAAATTTCTATTCTCAGTTATGTTCATACATCCAGATTACAGGCCTGCATTTCCAGCTCTCTGCCAAATACCTCTGTGTACCATTAGCATATCAAATCATCATATGCAAAAGAATATCAGCTTTGTGTTTTTGTATTCCAAATTTATATTTATGGCATTAGTATCCTTCTAGTCACCCAAACTTGAAAACTTGAATGCCACTTTGATTTCTGGTTATTGTTGGGGTTTCATTTTGTATTGCCAGTGTTTTTTTCCCTCATTATACCATGCACTATTCTCGTATATGCACCACAACACTATTCTTGTTATCGTCACTATTTTAGTTCTACATTATTTTGTCTCTATACTGATTAATTATTCTGCTTTCCCTACTCCTTATACTTCTTTATGTCATTAATCTTCTTGAAGCAGAACTCTCAAATAATGCTACTACCATTTTATTTTTGTTAATTTTTAAAAAGATTTTATTCATGTATTTTTAGAGAGGGGAAGGGAGGAAGAGAGATAGATATCGATTGGTTGCCTCTCATACATGCCCCTACCAGGGACCAAACCCACAACCCAGGCATATGCCCTTACTGCGAATGAACCAGTGACCTTTTGCTTTGCGGAATGATGTCCAACCAGCTGAGCCACACTGGTCAAGGCTGTTACTCCTATTTTAGTATTTATTAATTCCCTTTTGTGTGTGGAATAAAATTGAGGCTTTTAAGCCTAGCATCCAAGCCTGGTTCATTATAGAGTCAGTATGGATAGAAAGAAAGGATGGAGAAGAATGAGGTTTAGTGTTTGAATCTGTAGAAGTGGGAGATGAAAAGGAGCTAATGGTCAGAGAACTCCAGGATTTTAAGCTTGGATATCTAACGAATCATTGATACCCATTCCATTTGAAAAGCATTGGATCATAATATCTATGCCCTTATAGGTTGTTTCTGTATTATTCACCCTTTCCCCAAGGAATTGACACAGTCCTAATAATCTCACCGGTATTAGCCTCTTCTAGGCCTCGTCGTTTCTTATTCATGTATTCGGTTGGCCAAAAAGTTTGTTACATTTTTTCCATATGATTGCTCTAGTAGCACTTAGTTTTCTTTAACTTCATTCAAAACAATTTTGTTAGATTGTATTGTGACAGCTGTAATATCAGCATGCATTTTTTTAAAAAGTTATTAAAATTGGTGAAATTTTGTGCAACCATTTTAATATTGAAGATTGAAGAAGTTACACATTTTTGATATTTTATGCATTATTATTTCAAGAAAGGTAAAACTGCAACTGAAACACAAAAAAGATTTGTGCAGTGTATGGGGAAGGTGCTGTGACTGACTGAATGTGTCAAAAGTGGTTTGCAGAGTTTCTTGGTACTATTGACATTTTGGCCAAATAATCTTTGCTGTGGGGCTGTCTTATGCACTGGAAGATGTTGAGCAGCACTTCTGGCCCCTGCTCTATCAATAGCAGGAGATAGCCAGCATACTCAAAATAATCCAAATCAATGAAGTTAGTATTGAAAATTAAAAGTGAATGTTTTATTTTATGGAAAAAATGTAATAGACTTTTTGGCCAACCCAATACATACTCTGAATATTTTTCTTTGCCTTTATTCTGATTCTGATTATTTTCTGCCAGCCATAAGGTATCCTCTTCAGAGGAATTCTTGCCAATCCCAACAAAGATGATTCTTTTAAATGCTAGTTTAGTTTGAATAACTTCATGAATTGTGAATTTGCTCAATTCTTTCATAGGAAGGACCATTGAGACCTGTTCTTGAATACATTGATCTGGTCAGCAGTGATGATGAAGAGCCAAGCACCTCTCATAGTGATGTAAGTACATTATATGGGATTTGCATTTCTTTACCCCTGTCATTTAAGAGGTATTCTTGAAAGAGAGTTATCAACTCATGGGTGACTGTGTTTGGTGCTTTACAGAATGGCCCATTACTGTTAAAATGGGCCATGATAGGTAGTCCATGGAGGTCTTTGCCCAGAATATCTCCGTCTTTCAGTGAGGATGTGAAAGGATGACATGACACATGGAAGTTCTAAGCCTTGGAGGTAATATCTGATAAAAGGGAAATGGAATAAAAACTGCAAGCTTTTTGGCTCCTGTGTCCTTCTCCTTTCCTATCTCTCTTCAGGTGCCCTATATAACTGGATCCTTTTTATCTATAACCATGTGGCCACAGAAAGTTTGTTTTATCTTGGAAGAAAAGATATGTAAAGATCCTTTAGAAAATGGCATGTGGGGAAGGGTTATAGGTGATAAATTACTTCAGTTGTCATATCTTTTAACCTCCTCTATCCCCCATATATTTAAAGTTTTCTCTTTTACATATGATTTTTTTGGATGTGGGTTTGACCCCTAAGCTAATACTTTCCTTACTTTGAGAACCAAATTAACTGAGCTTTTTGTGGCAGTCTTGTCTTTCATTTGTAGCCCGAATTGCTATTGATAGGTTATTTACTTGATGGATTAGAGAATTCCTGGCTCTTGTTCAAGGTGACCAGAAGCTTCTTGTTTTGTGATAGTAGGGAATTGAGACTTGGACCTGGAATCAAGATACCTAGGTTTTATTCTCAGCTTTATTCCTTATTAATTCTGTCACTTTGGATAAATTAAGTAACTTTTTAACCTTAGTTTCTTTATCAAATAAGAATAGTACCTACCTCACAGGGTTGTTGTGAGGATGAAATGAGGTAACAGAAATATATGTAAGCGCCTTGAAAACTATATATTAGGAATTTGCAACTGGAAAGTTTTGTTATTCATGGAGAGTGAATGAGAGACTTATTAAAGGGGTTTAAAAGTGATTCTACAATGGAGGACTTTTAGAAGAAACTATTTTTTTCTCTGAAACTTTCCCCAAGTTTTCTCTGCAGTTATTAGCTCCTACTTGTTGACTTAAATATGTTAAATGGATTTTTTTAAAAAATCATTATCACCAATGGTCTCACTACTTTTTCTTATCCTGGCATGGGACCAAGCAGCAAGCTAGGATGGCACCACTGGGTTTGTTTGTACTCTCTTTTTTCAGAGACAGAGTGCCAGGTTAATGCCAGTGATTGGTATTGGGTCTTTGGGAAAGTGAAGTTTGTGGATTTGATTTCTGGGAACCCCCTTGCTGACCTGTAGTGGATTGCATCTTTCATTGTTAATTATAATAATTTAAAAAATTGAATTCTACTTACTGGACATGCATCTCTGCACTTGAAAGTTAACATATTAAAAGCATTTTTTTTTCTTCCTTGGTTTTCTTGTTCATGTGGATAACCCAGAGAATGCCTGAGTCTAAGGTGCCATCCTCTGAGAATCATCGCCCAGAAATGTGCTCTAGCTGCAGTGTTCCTCTTCCCATTGGAAAGAGCAACTCCTCTGGGAGTTGCACCAGCAGTCCACAAAGGATAGTTTCTCAACCTTCTTCTGTTGAGAACCCATTGGAGAACCAGAAAAATGATCAAAATAATTCAGATGTTAAGATCTCTGAGACAGAAACACTTAAGTCATCACAAAATTATCAGACTCTGCCTTCATCTCCACTTCTGGTCCCCCAAGAATCTTTGGTCTCTTCAGAGGTCAAGGAGGATTTATCTCCAGAGTCTTCATCTTCACAGCATGGACAGGATGCCATCCTCTATCTCCAGACACAAGTGGCTGAGATGTCCCGAGTGATACGTGATCTTCAGTCTAGGAGTTGTTTCAGATTTCATCATTCTAGGCCAAGTGAGAACTCCTCAGTACCTTGGGACATCACCTCCAAGGAAGAAAACTTATCCACAGTTGAAGAAGAGGCTGACTGCAAGTCCCCTTCAGCTGATGACAAAGGGCAGCCAGCTGACCCCAGTCAGACTAGTTTCACAGGCCTTTTGAAGAGAATGGAACAGAGAGGTGTTATAAAGAGAGTAACATTACAGTCTGAAGGAGAATCATGTGACGGAAAACCTGATTATGTGACCTCTAAAAAACGTTTGGTTCCTCCATTGCATCCTCTTCTAAGAATTGCTACCACTGAGGTTTTTAAAGACCCAGCTGATTGCCATCCTTCTTCTTTCATGGGACACAGGGTATATCCTGTGGCCAAGGATACCTCTCCTTTCCAACCAAATCCTCCAGCTGAGGGCCCCATTGTAGAAGCTTTAGAGCATAGCAAAAGAGGAAGCACAGCATCTCCTCTAGATTCTACCTCAAAAGAAATGGAGGTCATGGGTTGTAGATTCTACCATGCTGCTTCCATTGCAGCCCGAGCTGCTAGCTACATGGCCTATATGACTCAATATCAGCGTAAACTCTGGGAAGACATGGAGGACCTGGTCCACGACCCAGAATTTGATCGTGGAAAAGCAAGATGTATAATATCTGATGGTATGGATGCAGGCCTTTGGCAGCTTTGTACTACTAGGGACATAATGGACTCTGTAGTCAGAGTTATGGCAATGGCAGTAGACTACAGAAGGCAAGCCTGGCTCCGACTTACATCTCTCACTAAGAAAACCCAGGAGAAGATCTCACACTTGCCTTTTGATGGCACTTCCCTCTTTGGACAAGATGTGAATGCTGTTGTTGCAGAAGAAAACAGTATAAAAGAAAATGACTATAAAGACCACAGCAAATACTATAACCAACATCGATATTTTTATAGTCATGATCAGAAAGTACATTATCACAACAGAGGGTACTCCAAAGGGGATTGGTACAAACCCCGAAATCACCCCTATAGATACAGAAAAAAAGGGGAATCTCCAGAACGCCATGGGTACAAGAATTAGTAGCCTGAATTTCAGCAGTATAGCCATCCAGCATCCTAAGTATTTATTTGGTCTTCCTGACTTACACAGGATTTACAGGTAGGAGGTCACCTCCAAAACTGAATGAATGTCTAGAATTACCACAGCTGATGTTTAAATTCTAGACTTTTGGAATGAAGTATATAATAAAGATAATCATCTTTTATTGGCCAAATGAGCAGCAGAGACTTTTCATCTGAGTAGGGCTGGACAGAGATTTACCCATTACTTCTGGTTCAAAGTAAGCCCAGAGGAAGATACTCAGGAATTTGAATCCTCTTGTGATTAAAGAAGAATATAAAGATTGTTCCTCAGGAAAATCTTGCTGGTAAACTGAGGACTAGCAGATTTTGGGCCTGGAAATAACCTACTACTTACTAGGTCTCTGTTTAACACAGAGGCAAATCTTTTGTCTTTAGGTCATCAGTACTTCCTTGTTCTGGCTTCATTGGTCAGATCTTCACAAAATGACAAATCTGTTATAATCTGTCTATATCAGGATGATCAACTCACTGGGGGTCCATACTACTCTCAAGCTCTATGAGACTTCAAAATCAACCATGAAGCTGTATATCTAGAACTGGAATTGAAATTTTGCCAAATCCAATTTGCTTCTAGTGAGATGACTAGACGTCACAGGTCTACTGTCGGCACCAGCTGGAAAGATACTTTTCTACCTGTAACATCTCTGTAAAAATTTCACAGTAACTATCTTCATTGAGACTGATGGCTATCGTGCCATCACCACTTCAAGTTACGTATGAGGGAATTTTTTGCTGTTATCACTCATAAGTCTTTGACCTATCAAGCTCTCATATCAAACTGTGAGACCCAGTAATGGAGTTCTGTCAGGATAATCTGGACCTTTCACCAAGATGACCTTCTAAAACAAACCCACCTTCTAAACACTTAACTTTTTCCGAGCTTGATAATTCGTCACACTATAAATACAAAAAAGATAATACACCAAAATATACATTGGTGCCCTGGAAATAAAGGATATTACTCATACCATCCAGGCATGCAAATCTGAACTCTTAAAAGAGCAAGAATTCCAAACATGCCTGACAATCCAGTCCTCTTACTATAATAAAGAGGGATGCCATCAATCCATGTTACTGAGAAATCCTTAAGACTTAGAGTGTAACTGTGGATGCAGTAAAGAGAATATCACGCACTTCTGGTTCTGGATATCTATTTAAATGATGATATCCATTAACGATATCTTAAAATCTGAAATCAAGACTTCAGAGACATATCTTGGTTTATTGGTTCCTTAATCTAGTCAGACTCTTACAATGAGAGATGACTGACTTTTTTGCTCCCAATTGGTTCAATTAAGATTTCTCTACCATCCTGGAACTAGCAGCAGATACCTCAATTATATGTCCCACAATGCTCTTTTTAATTTCAAGACAGTGGCTGTACTGTATATGAGCCCTTGTCTTCGTAGCATGACTTCAGGAATGGAGACACTTGTCAAGTTTGTGGGATCTAGATACATGGCCTACTATTATTCACTTGCCAGTCAAAAAAATTTCTTTTATCAGACTTATAATTTTGTAACTTCTTTGTCAAACATCTACATTTTCTCATCTGCTTGATCCAAGTATTTTGGGTATACTGTTAATGGAATGTAACTGTTCTAGGATTCACGTGGTTTCTAATTTCTTGGTATAGTTCTTGCACAGTGGTGATTGACAGTTTTTCTCGTGCCCCACTTTTCAGTAGTTTATTGGAGTTTCATTCTTCCCCATCATAACCATATTCAGAAACATATTTGTGCTGTAGAGGTTAAAGTGGCAAATATCCCTACTTGGAATGAGTTATTTTGTTAGATACTTTGAGGATACTGTATTGGTCCAGTTTGTAGATTAAGCTACAGTCTTTGATAGAGATCATCTTGCAAAGTAGGTTAAGTCATACCTACAGTTAACATTTATCTTTATTTTTTCTATATTTCTACAGTCATCTACTCTTTTAGGTCCATGCCAGTGCTATAGGAACTGTCTTTCAAATTGAACTCTAGAAGAGCATTGATTATCTTCCTGTAAAGAAACAAGGGCCTACGAAATCATAAAAAGATTTTTATAGTACATGATTTCTACTATACCAGTTGAGTAGTCTCATGTGCCATTGACGTGGGACTATAGTTTATTCTGTGAAAGAACTAGTCACTGGAAGAGAAAGAGACCTTGAAACTTCTATATGGCTGTACATGCATATTAAATTAGCTGAGGCTACTTCAAACTGCTCCTGCTTTTCCATTGCTCTCCTTCCCTGAATTAAATACTGGGTCACAAACTTGATGGTCTTTGAGGTACTCTGATTTTCCAGAAACCAAACCAAAAAAAAACGATGCTTGAAGGTATGATTCTCTGAAATTGCTTTGGCACTTCTGCTTAATATGCTCCTCCTTTGTAATTTTTGTATTTTTTTTTTGTGGTTTAGAAAAAGACAATATAAAATTTACCACCTTAACCATTTTCAAGTGTACAGTTCAATAGTGTTAACTATATTTACATTGTTTTGTAGCTCCTCCTTTCTTAAATATTTCTAAAACAGCATTGCTATTCTCTTCCTCTTGTGTTATGTTGCTCAGTAACAAAGCTGAAAAAACATTGCTTTATCACTTCCTAATTGATATGTCCAACCTTCTCCAGAGAATTTTCCTAAAAGTAAAGAGGTATTGGGAAATTATTGAATTGATCAAGTAGCTCACTTCTGAAGGCATTTGACAACTGAATGGGGATAGGGACAAAATACTACGGAGTTGGGACTGTTTTTAGCTATAGAGTAGCTTCTGTCCTGATGACAGAAGAAACAATATCCTTAACCTGTTTGGTTTTTACTATTTTAAAGTTTTTCTCTGACATACTTGAATTATAATGGTGTTATAAAACTAAAAACGAGGACTTTGTCTAGGGACACAACCCCAATAGCATATGGAACTCATAATTAGTCAGATAATAAGTTTTCATATTGTGCCTGCCATGTGCAGAGCCTGTGACAAAATTCTCCATTAGGCCAACCTTGTATGTTTTAATACGTACAGGTTTTCTAGGAGGCCTTGCAATAATTGCAAGTTTAAAGATTTGGTATTCTCAAAAGGGATGTGTCTAATAATACTTTTTCTTAAAAATGTTATTTCTTGACTAGACAAAATGTAGGTGGAGACAATATGATTTCTTGTAGTTACTATGTACAGAGAAATACTATTTCCATTGTTACATGAAGTGCCTTTTTAAATTTCACACTCTTGTTTAAAAGTTAACATTTTGATGTTTTGCATATGTTGCTGGTGATATGTGAATTTTGTACAGTGATTTTTAATCTTGTAGTTTATTCATTTGTACAATTAATTGCACTATCTAAATGTACTCTCCTTCTGAATGTTTGTTTTCTTTATAGCACTGTTAATCCATTTCAGAAGGTTGTAGAGTATGTCCCTCCTTTATTTAAATAACTTCACAGTAGTAAATGTTAGTAATAATAGTGATTGGCTCAATTTTGGGGGCATTGAGGCAGCTTTTGCTTTTATCTGTAGATTCTAGGCTTTTGACTGAGTCATTTGTCTCATATGTAGCCATAGTAGCATAAGTTATATTTGATAAGTGGATGTGCTTAGTTGGTAAGAAGAAACAAGGACATTAGGGAAAAGCAGTAAATTTGCTGATACTTTATCTTACTTTTTTTTAAGACTGTGTAACCACTTCCTTATCATTGTAACTGCACTTAAACTTTTTAAAATTGTGTGACAGCTCCTTTATTGATATAATTCCAGTATTAGCCCTTAAAATGACATTTGAGGGGAGCATAAACTCTTTCAGGCTACTTGGATACTAATTAGTATATTATATTAGTACTGTACTGATAATTTACTGAATGATACCTGACCATATTGATAATGTCCTTAAGGTTCCAGTACATCCAGGATAACCTTTTAATTACTATGAAGAAGGAGGTTGGAATAGACACAATCCAGAATCGCTTCTGGCTATAATATTGGACTCAGTTAAAGGCCACATTAGTATTCTTGAAGATATAATTAATTGACTCGTTCTAATGATACTAGAAATTATGGATTAGGTCTTTGTAAAAAGAGTTTTAAAGATTACAGTAACAAAACTTTTTTAAAGATGTGAGGCATATTATGTCTGTGACTTGCACTGTTTAGGTTTCCTGATCTTTTGAAATTGATGATTTTTTATTCAATGTTAGTGGCTAGTCCAATCAATTGTCATAACTGTATACATTTTTTTGTATATTATTCAGTTGGCCAGATCACTTCTGCATAGTTTTTCATTAGTGGATACACAAACCAACCAGTTTTTCATTTTTCACTTAAGAAAATGTACAGGTGGAAGCTAACAGTAAACTGATGATGATCATGGCATTGGATACAAATCTTTCAGTTATTTTTTCAGATAGACTGAATTTTGTAAGCCATTAAAATACCCTTTTATGGAATTTCCCTTCCTGGTGAATGATGAGAATATTGTTTTATTAAATCTTTTTTCTCTTATAGATTAGTGGGATGATATTTTTGTATAACTTTGTCTTTTCATTTGCTTGACTTTATACAATGAGAACTTTTTAATAGTAGTGTTTGGTACCATTGAGATATCTTATTACTGGAAATTATGTTTGCTTCCAGTTGGATATATCTGGAAGTAATCATAGTTCAACTATGTCCTTTCGGTGTTAGCACATTGGTCCATTCTTCATATTGTTCTTTTCTTCCTTTTTATAAAACATCTCTTTCTAGAAGGATGTCTGATCTTGCTTTAATCTCTTTGATGTAGATTAAATTTTCCATTCTGCCAGTATAAGCTAGCCAGAATTTTGATGTGGCTTTGTATTTGTATATTTAAATACGATGCCTTCAGCATTATTATAGGAGATTTTCTAGTTTTCTCTTATAATGTCCTTAAAAAAAAAGTGCCCAATCCAGTCTCAACCTACCCCCTAGCTATTGAATTTTCATCAGTCTTTAATGCTTTCTTGTTTAATGATAGTATTATTTTCTCATTTTTACATATTTTTCACACAAATGTATTATTACATATAGTTTATGGTCAATTGCATCTTTTCTCTGTATAAAGATTTTAGGCTCTTCACCATGAATTTATAGTACAGCTTGAGATATACTGTATCTTAAAGTTAGCCAAGTTTTCCGTGGGTTGTAAGGGCCTTACTGGTTTTGTTGAGTAACTGTCTATTTCAAATGCTCTATTAGATTTTCTCATGCATTGTTAAGAATTCATAAGAGTTCTCAGGTTATCTGTACTTTTAGGACTTTGGAGCTCTCTCAAGTTACATTGACTTTTCAAATATTCCTGAGTGTATTCCTTAGTAGAAGGTGAAGGTAAATGTTTTATAACTGGTGATAATTTTTAGAGTTCTCCTTTGACTTTAAATACTTCAAGTGTTACTATGAGTTGTGTTAGTTGTCCCTTTATAAGACTAACTTTCATATGCTGTTTTTCCTCAGGAGCTGTTATACGCTTTCTGTTTTTTTTTCCATAACCCATAAGAATGGTTCTATCACAGCGTTCAATTTTAAGGGCTACAATTAGATCTCTTGTTAACTCCTATTTGTATCTATTATGGCTGTGTTTCATGAATTATAATGTAGTATAATGTGCTAAAATAACTACCAGTCATGTGGCCTCTTTATACCACTTTTAGTTATTGAAGCAACAATAATGTAAATGATGGGGGAAAACATTTTTTGATTCACTGGTTTCAAGTTTTCAGTTCTTTTTACATTTATTTACATTAAGCTTCTTGCTGTTAGATGTACAGCCCATTCTTTTCTGTTTTGGGTAGAATATGTTGATAGTTAATTTGTAATTGGTCTCATTTAGAATCTTAACAGAGTTGCATGAATGCTGGTCTTTGTTTAATAGCTTGTAACAGCACCTAATTTCTTTTATTTTGGGCAAAAATGTATTTTGACAGGTCTTGGAAGCACCTTGATAGCCTTGGGTCTAAATGTCATCTTCCTGCCTGGCAAGGAAGTAGAGGAGAGAACCTTCATTTATAGAGCTTATTTTTACTAGGCCCTGTGCTAATTGCAAGATACGTTTGAGGCAGAAATTCACCCTTCTTTTGCAGATGAGGAAATGAAATTTACCAATAAGGAGCTTGCTCAAGTGGTGGAACTGAGCTTTGAATATGATTCTGCTCCTTCATAGTCTGAAGTCAACATTGTGCTAGGCTGCCTCTATGTGTTTTTCAAGGTCCCACTCAAGTCTTACCTCTCTGATATAAACTAATTTGCCATATACTAATCTATGTCTTCCGTGATATATAATCTTTGATATATACTAACCCTTGTATTTATGTCTGTACTCCCATCCCTGAGTACTTGATGTCTTCTATTAACTAATTCCTGGTTATTTCACTCATTGGATCAAAACCCCTAACATCTTAGTTTTCCCATTGAGGTTTTTATAGTGCTAGACTAGGATTCTTGATTCCTGGTCATTGGCTGCTCTTTCCTATGTTGCTTATTTGCATTTCATTTGTTTTCAGCCTTGAATGTTTTAGTTGTGGTTGTCATTGCTACTTTTTTTTTCTTCTACCTTTTTTGTTTGTTACACCTGTTTTGTTTGAGATACACACTTGAAAATTTTTTTAACTGGTAACGTGAGGATATTGGCTTAATGTAAGGAAGGTGGAATGATGCAGAGCACATTGTATTTGAATTATAAACACCTTGCTCTGAGTATTAGCAAGTCACTTATTTCCTGAGCCTCTGCTTTCCTACTCTCAAATGAGGCAGTGCCCAGAAGTATTTTGAAAACTTGGAAGCCCAATATTGATTTCCTTCCTTTAGTAGTTATGCTGTTTCTATCCACATTCATAGATTTCTTGTAACCATGGGATGGTACTGGATACAAATACAGATGCATTTTAAGATGTATTTAATAGCATGCAATAGTTTGTTTCATGTTATCAGATCATGTTCCCCCTGTTTAAAGTATATTTTTAAGGCTGAACCATTAAACTATGTCACAAGCCCAGCAGTGGACTACGCCATAGAAAAACATTTAAAGTAAAATAGTCTCTTTTCTCAAGTGCAAGCTAAGAAATGTTTATAATAAACAGTAAGAAAAATAAAAGAGAATGTAGACTGAAGAACTAGGATATGTAGGTATGTATATACAATTTTTGATGGATGGTATTTTGTCATTTTGCATCAATGCTGGAAAAAATCTTTTCATTTGTCAAACCTCTTTTTCAATTCTTGCCATGTGTAGGCAGGTACTAAAGAAGCTCTCGGGATACTGGGAGTTAAGAGATGGTATGTTACCTTAAGAGAAAGAAATACCAATACAAGTAATTATCCTGTTTAGAGGAGTGCCTGTGATGCAGTTGGGACAAAAGAGAGGTCCATGTAAAGGAGTCAAGGAAGGTTTTCTTGTGAAGTTCTTGATTGAGCTGAGGTTTGGAACATGATCAGATAAGAGTTAGTTGGACTAGTGGAGAAATGGGAGCCAGGCATTTGGTGAAGGAATCTGTGTGCAAGGGTATGGGCAGCATTGTGTTTCTGGTTTTAAAATTGTAAGACACAGCTTTATGAGGCCATAATTGGAGGAAATTAAACTGAAGAAAGATACATTACCCATGAAAACATTGGTTCCTACCTATTCAAACTGTACTGTTTGTGTAGCCTTTACCTGTAAGGTTATAGAAATAGTCTTGTCTATAGAAGTTGGTTTGCACCCTAGTCCACTACAGACATCTAGAGCAATTATTTTCTTACCTGAACTTAGCCAAAGGAGAGCTCTCAATCAGTGCACCTCTAGCGGCAGGGACAGCTCTAGTATTGAAATAGAACTGAGGCACTGGTAGAGAATAACTTTGAAGATGAACAGGATAATGTCACTGAAGTGGAATGGGAAATCCCGTTGTGGGTATATGGTTGCATACTTCAGGACCACCTATTGGCAGTGTGTCCTCATTGTAAGTAAATGTGGGTGATTTCCCTGTTGGCTTACAGATGAATTGTGGGTGGACTTGGAGAAAATAAAGATATTTCTAAAAATCTTGCTTCATTGGAGTATGGAGGTATTGTATTAAATAAGGACCTGTGAACTTTGTGCCAATGGTATCTCCAGCAGCACCCAAAGCATGTTTTGCCAACTCCCTGTTTTTTCTCTGGTTTGGGTTTCTTTTCCTTGCTGCTGTTGTCATTGTCACCTTTTCTCTGCATGATTCATCCTTTTATTTCCTGTGCCAGAGATAGAGCAGCGGCATTCAGGGTTAAAAAGTCGTGACTCCGCTTTGCTTTGCTTTGCTTTGTTTTGCTTTATTTTCCTTTATTTTCAGAGATGTTTTTAAATTCCTTGAAATTCCAAGGTTACATTTATTTATTTATTTTTAACCTATACTGAAGGATAATCGAAGTCATTTCTTTCTAGAAGGGAATTTTTATACATGTAGATATTGGCAGTTTACCCAAAAGACAATACAGGAAGAATCTTATTTAACAGGCTCAATGTTACTGTAGCCTTCTTAACTAAATTACTTTACAGAATGGGGTATATATGTATGTTTTTAAATTTGCTCATATAAAGCAGTTATTCTGTGTGCTTTGTATTTGTAAACAATAACCAGTTGGGGGTGGGAAGGAGATTGCTTTGTGCAAAAGGGTTGTTTCCTGGTTCCAAAGCTTTGCTGCTGGAAATGGTAAATAAATATTGTACTGCTTTGCTGTGTTTATTTCTTCTGCTCCATCTGTATTTGAATATAAAATTCTTGAGAAAAATTGTTGCTTTCCAAAATGTTGTTTGGGATGTGGTTTGAGTTACAAGTTGGGTATGAGAAGCTTCTGATAAACAGCACTTCTGGAGATGGCAAACTTCAGATCTATGGACCAGAATTTTAGGATGGGTAATCAGGCTTTGAAACTTGACTATGTATGATGTAATGCAGTTTTAGGAATTCTTTTCAAACCAATTGCACGAGTCAGATGGATAATATGATTTGCAAACTTAATTTATGCCACTTTTGCAGTTGGTTGCTCCTTTGAGCTTCTTTGAACTTGGGATCCCTTACATAGAAGATAAAGAGGTTGGTAGGAGGGAATAATCATCTTCCAATTGGTGTTCCTCTGATCAGTGCCAGGTCACATTCACAGAGAGATAACAACAGTAAATAATGCTCTGCCTTGGATGATTCTATCTATATTCCCTCTCTCTTTTCTTTACCTACACTCTTCCTCCTCCAAATTTCATCTTTTTTTATTACTGGCTTTTTTAGTAGCCAAAAAATGCCTTGGTGAGTCACATAGGGAACTGGATTGTTATCACTTTTCTGGATAATAACTATTTTTACAGAGTGCTTTCTCATTGATTATATCACCCTATGTGGTATCTGAAGCAGATTTATTCTATTTCACAGAGAAGTTTAGTGACTCTACTCATATTTTCATTAAAAAAGTAATAGTGTAAAAAATGCTTAATTTGGTTGTATTTGTTAAGAACTGAAGTACTTTTTAGAGATTAGTAATAATAATTTTAAAATACAAATAATTTATCTAGCATGAAACCACAAAATGATACACTACTACAAGCTCTTGTAAAATGACAATTTCTTTTACGAAGTCCCACTTTTCAGTACGGAGTTTCGAGACCTTGCTTCACAAAAGCAGGATTGTGACGTATATTCTCCGTCCCCTTTGACTTGATCTTGGCAAAATTTCTAGACAACTGGTTTAGCTAGTTATGGCAGTAAGAAGAGACTTAGAGGCTCACCTTTTGGGTGAGCAGATGAGTGAAAAGTAAAGTATAAGAAGCCTGTATTTAATATTTGAGAAAATTTGGATACAGAAATTCTCATGAAAATATTACCAAACCAAATTCCACAATAGATTGAAAAGATTATATACCATGACCCAGTGGGATTTATTCCAGGGGTGCAGGGATGGCTCAGTACCTGCAAATTAATCCATGTGATACATCACATTAACTAAATGAAGGGTAAAATCATATGGTCATCCAAATAAAAACAGAAAAGGCTTTTGACAAAATTCAACATCCATTTATGAAAAGAAAAAAACCCTGAAGGAAGGGGATATAGAGGGAATGTACTTCAACATCCATATATGACAAATCTCTAGGTAACATAATCAACAATGAAAAGTTTGAAAGATTTTCCTCTAAGATTAGGAACAAGACAAGTATGTCCACTCTTGCCAGTTTTATTCAATGTAGTTTTTAGAAGTCTAAGCCAGGTGGAAAAAAGGCATCTAATTGCAGATTGAAAAGAAAGAAGTAAAACACACTGTTTGCAGATGACATAATCTGTATAGATGGTCTTCAGTTTATGATGTGACTTACAATTTTTTGACTTTAGAATGGAAAAGTGATTTGCATTCAATAAAAACTGACTAGGCTAAGCTATAATGTTCCATAAGTTAGGTGTATTCAATGCATTTTTAAAAGATTTTATTTATTTTTTAGAGAGAGGGGAAGGGAAGTACAAAGAGGGAGAAACATCAATGTGTGGTTGCCCCTCATGTGCCCCCAACTAGGGACCTGGCCCACAACCCAGGCATGTGCCCTGACTGGGAATCAAACTGGCAACCCTTTGGTTTGCAGGCCCACACAATCCACACTGAGCTACACCAGCCAGGGCTATTAAATGCATTTTTTACTTAGAATATTATCAACCTAAGATGAGTTTATTTGATGAGTTTACATAAGATGAGTTTACATAACCCTATCATG